ATTTGTTTATATTATATTATATTATATTGCACACACCCTAACCCTCTGGGGGAGATGGGCAGCATATAAATTTAATAATAAATAAACAAATTTGCTTAATAATAAATAAACTCAAAGAAGTTTGTCCCCTTCCATGCCCATCTGTCGAAAAGGACTAATTCAAACACTGCCAAAAAGCGAATCAAGGGTGTATTTCTTCCTTCAGTGCTGCATCCTGATTGTCTTGCTGAGTTCCATGCATGAAGTAGTAGTTACCTTGCTAAGTTCTAAATGCTGGGGCCTTAGCCAAGAAGAACATCAGCATCTTCTCTGAAGCTAGAAAGAATCTTGCCTGGAAAGTCTACCCTATTAAGAAAGGAAGGCTCAAGTTTAACCTTTTCCTTGATATATTGACTTTCTGTACTAGAAGTTTTGGAATTGGAAGAACACTCAGATTTAGAATTTTTCACTTGCATTTTAAAATGCAATAATTTGAGACTGGCTAAATTCTCACTAGAGCAGAAAGCTGGAGTATAAATCAAATAAGTAAGTACTGCAAGTAAGAATAGATTTTCACATACAGGGTGTCTTCCAGTACATGATGAAGATGATCAGAATTTATATTAGTTGTTTTATTGAATTAAATGCAAAGGAGCTTTAGGGTTGCTTTTTGAAGGATAGTATAAAATATATATGCCATATTTCTGTAATGCTACAGTAGTACTGGGCATAAGAAAAACATGATTCCTACTTTCATTCAGCTATCTTCATTAATAGGTAGAACAGAGAATACTACTGATTAATAAAGCATGAATGGTTGATAGATGGTGGTGGAAGAGCAGATACAGTTAATCTCAGTTGGCCGGAAATAACATGTTAAGTAATGAGCAAGGAGAAGGTTGGGGGAGAGAATGGAGGAAGCTTTTAAAATATATTGTTGCCAAGGTGCTGGTATTCCCTTGGTGATGGCATTCAGGTAGCTAACCTACATGTAGGAAAATACTTAATGCCTACCATATACTTGCTCATTATGAATTGACAGCAACTATCATTCAGCTCTTCTGTCCATGGATGGAGAGTAGGCAATGGGCAGGTATTTCTTTATTTTAGATGTCTATTGTGCTATGTAATTCAGTATTTGCCTATTAAAAGGGCTAGTGTGAAAGCAAAGTGGACTTCAAGTGGGACCTAGCATTGCTGGAATACAAATTAAAGAACATCTTTCAACTCTAGATATCAGAGTAAATCATATCACATGCAAAGCTAATTTATAAATTACACATGTATTAAAATTCACTACAAATGAACTACTGTATTTATATACATAATTATAGGAAAATACTATTTTCTTATTTTCTTATAACTGATATTTTTATGTGCCATCAAGTCAGTGTCAACTCTTAACAACCACACAGATAACCCTTTTCCAGAATGATTGGTCTCCAACCTGGCCCTTCAGTCTTCCAACAGCGCACCCATCATTGCTGTAATCAAGACCATCCACCTTGCTGCTAGTCATCCTCTTCTTCTCTTTTCTTTCACCTTTTACCTTTCTCAGCATTATAACACG